AGGTTTTAATCTTGAAACCGGATAAAAGGATTAACATCAATAATCTATATCCAAGGGATTAGTGTCAGCCTCTTGTAGATGTGAAGCTAGTTTTCGTTTGAAGAATCTGACTTCTACATATTTTTCTTTTCTCCTTATGCAAGAAGGTTAAGAACTTTTATTATAAGATACATTTTTTTGTAGTGATTGTTTGGCTTAGTTCTAACCACATCCATTAACCAACATCACACACAAAGAACCACACACATGACGAAATCAATATGCATATCATATTATTAGGTCAATATAATGAAATGATGGTGTTGATGCTGTTGTCTCTTCTTCCCTATCTTGTTTCATGTCCACACTCATTTGTGGGTGTTCTTTCCTCTGTTGTCCTTCTTCTTAAATTGTGGCACTATTGTTCTAAGTTGTAGCCTCTTAAACCGTAAGAATTCATAGCCTCAGGATTTCACCTTGTGCCATGTCTCTAACCAACACATGTTCGTGTTCTTCAGCATATTTGAGCATTTACCAGTACCTCTTTCTCATGGTCCATTCCTTTAATTTCAAATCTCAACATAAACTAAATGCATGAGAGAATCATAGCGGAAAATCGATGTGGATTATTGAAAACCAAGGAATAAAGTTAAAAATTGATTATTAAGGTTGACGTGATTCCTTTTTCTTCAGCTGCCTTTTTGCAATATTTTTTTCTCTTGTTGCTTTTGCGCGAACTGGAGAGTTGAGACAAACTCACCATCTTAGCTATTTATGGTCTAGAAATTCTGATATATTCCAGCGTTTGTCCCTCAAAGTGTTGTGTTTTTTTGGTTTTTGCCCCATTACTTGAAGCCCGAGCTGTAAAGTTACAAAGTACAAGTATATAGATATTGTCAACATATGACTATGGCAAACACAATCATACAAGATTCCACAAGGCGAATCTATAAATGTTCTAGCTTCATATATGATGTCTAAGCATACAACAAAATTTTGTAAATAAGAGACATTGTATTGAGTTCCTCTAATCATATATTAGGATAAATTTAGAGAAAATTGAAAACAAATGAACGAATAAACTTACGTTAGAAACGTAACCCCTCTTTGGCTAACTAATCACTGTTTTGTTGCTCTAAATTGCAGTGAACAATTGTAACANCTTACCTATGATCTACTTGATCTGATTCTCTTGAGAAGCTGCAGAATCGTATCGCTCTTTTCCACATACGCAGTTCCCTACAAAAACTAACCCTCATGGAGAATTTGCGATAGATCAAAGGGAAGATGATTGGGTGTAGAAAAACTGAGAAGCAAAGAGATGAATACTGAATCTCTAATAGTGTAACATATATTTCACATTGGTTNACAATTCTCGTATGGAATCAGAAAAAATGTCTTAAAGTTCAAATAGGCCAAACACCAACAAATATACTACACTACTTCTCACATAAGACATCAGCATGGACGAATCACTATGAGAAATTAAGAACA